TTCTCGGACACGAATCTATATCCCCATTAGATATCGACATTGTGGCTAGGAAGAAGATTATCTTACACAGTGTTCAATAAAAGGTAAGATGTACTGGAGCGCATCCCAAGAGAAGATATACGCCATGGCTAATCGCATCCATGGACCGACAAAGTAATAGTCAGCAACATGGCTCGCGATGAATGTTCCGTACACCGCTACCATGGCGCATTTGGCGTGGTAAAAGTCGATAGCGAAGCGCGTTTGATACACCAGTATCGTAAGCAAAGCCGTGAGGAGAAAGACTGCCCACACCTCATCCTGGGTCGTCGAACGCGCCCAGAGGGGCAGAAGAAGCGCGAGTGCGAGGCGTAAGGATGGTTGAGTAGTCGAGAGCGTCATATCTTTGTGTAGTTGGTGATGGGAGCGTCGGGAGAAGTCCATGTGGTTTCATTAGTTACAGGTTGTGTGATGCAATCACGCGTTGATTGCCTTTCGCTTCCGTCATTACTATTGCCCTCTGTCCGATCACAGGGTCGTGACATACTTTCACTCTTGGTGGGTGATCTACGGTTCCTACGTGCGTTCATTGCTACCCCAAGAGCTGTAGCCTGTGAGCCGACATCATCCATATGTGACCTTCTCTGGTAATGTTCCGGCGGGCATGTGCGGCCGCTCCTCCTCCATCGCATCCGCATCCGCATATCGTGGTACATCTTGATGTGTTTGCCCAAACACCACGGGTTGTGGCTTCCCATAATGTTCCCTCGTCTCCTGCGCGAACCCTGTGTTCACATCCTCCATACCCTCTATCCTGCTGTCATGCCGGCTCGCAGTACCATGTAGACCAAATGCCACAGCATCATGGCCCTCCCACCCCTCGTTTACCATCTTCTCTACCTTCTCGATGACCATTCTACAAAGGTTTCGATGCCCTTCTTCCATCTTGCCTTTCACGAAAGGCATAAGCCACCATGCGCAGCTCACTTCCACATCTTCTACTAGCACGAACTGCGCGTCCCCGACGCCCATGCCCTCGCCCTCAACCTCGCTGCCCAGTTCGCCATTTGCAACCACCCTGTATTCAGCCCTGAGTATCACGCCCGCCGCCGCATCTGCGCGCGTCTTTATGCCCTGCCTCGTGTTCTGGTAACAGACTGGGAAAGTTATGTACTTCTTCCCGTATTGCCCGATGCCCGGGAACCAGGTTATGCACTCGCTGACGTGGTAGGTTGCGACGGGGTATTGGTCGGGCGGATACCAGTATGTGTCTTTGAGGGTTGTTTCAGCGGTGCTCGGTGCTGTCTCGTAGCCACAGCTAAGGGCTTGGAGTGTGAGGGTTGTGTCGTGGTCATGCAGCGCGGCTACGACCGAGGCGGGGGAGATGTGGCTTGGGAGATGGTGCGCGACGTGGAGGTTGTGTTTTGCGCTCATCGTGAAAGCGCGATTTCGTGGACGCGTAGGAGATCGGACTCCTTGGAATAGGATGCTTGATTACTCGTCTGATAGGGCTAAAGATAGAGAATTCGTGGTGTTTTCCAGACCGGCTGCGAATGATGGTGAACGTAACGATTAGCGACTACAATTACTAGGAGCTATACAAAGTTGGGTATCGAAGTCTTGGAAGTCAAAAAAGTAAAGAGACAATGTGCGAATGACGAGGCTGCAGGGCGGCTAGTAGTAGCTGATGCATGTTGCGTCGCTGACTGAGGCGTTGCTATCTTGGTCTGAAACAGATGAATGGGCATCACCTGCGACGCGAAGGGGTCCGGCGGTAAACGTCATCACCGTGTCGCGCTATTCCCCATATGGCAAGGATCTATTTCCATCCCACCGTCTTTTCAAGGTTGTAAGGCTTGCTCGCAAGGACAGGGAATTGAATGTTGCATTCTTACGAAGGCTTCATTAAAAGCTAGCATTGCTTTGACATCATTTGGACGAACCGTAGCAGGCTTCGATCACAAGACGCGATGCGCAAAGAACATCCCTCCACGCCTCCATCCTCCCCACTGCTCATATGGTATACCTGAACCCGGCTTGGCCTTCATTCTCGTCCATCGGCTCTCCATTAGCCCTCTGCTTATCTACCACTTTATTCTTCTTTAAGAAATACGTAGTAGTGCAGCACAGCACTAGCAGGATGTAGATCTGAAGACCAGCCGTGACCCATAGACCTGTAATGTATGTTGGAGCTTCTTCCTGGACGAAAGTCGTTGATGCAAGAATACCACCGATTGCACCGAAGCCGATCTGGAGAGCGCTTCCGACGGACCGCTTACTTTGGCCACGGATGTTGTTGCTCTGGTATGCGAGAATGGCCGGGACGTTGCCCTGGCAGCCACATACTCCTAGGAATGAGCCAAAGTACCTTGCCCCGTTGTTCTTGGCATATGCTACGATCATGAGACCGATGATGGCAAGAATCGATTGCGCAGCGATCACGGGAGCGCGAAGGCGGTATTTGTCTCCTAGCCATGCGAACCCAAAGGCTGTGAACATCGCAAACAGACTCGGAGGTGCGGATAGGGCGTTAGCCTGACCAGGCGAATAACCCATGCCGAGAAGAATGACCGGGAGGAAATAACTGAAGGCGTAGGCTGGCATGGTTGTCGACATGAACAACGTGGCATAGGCCCACAATTTGAGGTCTTTCAAGTGGTAAACAAATTTGGCCCAGGTCAATGGATCCGCTACCGAGTCTCCTCGATCGTCTTCGATACGCTGCATGATGACAGCGGCCTCAGCGGAAGTGAGAAACCCTTTCTTTTCGGCTTTATCAGGAAAGTCCAGGATGATGAACCAAGCTGCGATCGCAACAATGCAAGTCAAGATGCCCTCTGCACTAAGTGTCAGTATTGCTTGAGTAGAATCAACAAAGCTCAAGAAGCCTCAGATCGATGCGAAGTGCGATGTTGAGAGAAGACCTAGATAGCAAATGGTGGTGGTTTCTGCTTACCTATGATAAAGATCCATCTCCAGCCTCGGAGACCGCCGACACCTTCCATTTGCATGAGACCATACGCAAGGATGTTCGCGAGACCACCGATACCGACAGAGAAGAGATAGAAGCCACCCAGTCTGCATTCTTGGTAAGCCATTGCCACCATGCATTTGGTTTGATGAAGGTTGCATACCTTTTTTGTGTCTCATAGCGGCGATACCAACAAGTGATGAGATATACACATCCAGGGAAGAACCCGGCCTCGAAAGCTCCGAGTAATACACGGCATATGGCAAGTGAAATCCAGCTTTCGACGAAGCCCTGTCCGATCATGACAGCACCCCATGATACGGCGATGAAAGCTAGCCAGTTCGCGCTGCCCACCTTACGAAGGACGATATTAGACGGAAGCTCAAGCAGGAAGTATGTCGGAAAGAAGAGAACCAGGACAATGGTGTATCGATCTCCGATTTGGAGGTTGAGGTCCGGTCCCATCCCAGCAACTCGGGCGTTGGAAATCTGCCGCTGGTAAGCGTTTCGTCTAGATGCGAACAGAAGGTGTCTGAACTGACGTTTGTGCGGTCTATGAGCGCGATGGAGTACAGGGCACCCAATATAGGTAGCAGCCTCCAGTCGACTCTACGCACCAACCTCTTCTCTTCGATCTGATCGTAAGCATAGTCCGAGACGTTGTTGTCCGTCGTCGTCGGACTGATCGCTTCCTTGTGAACAGTGTCTTGCTTGTAATGGTCGTCGTTGTTCATGATGGGCAGAATATCCGGAGTTCTCTGCACCGTGAAAAAGGCTCAAGAAGACAGGGGAGGATCGTCGCAGGGACAAGAGCAGCTGCGGATCATTTCTCTTATCACGCATCCACTTATACTGGAGCGATGACGATGGAGACCGAGGCAAATTCCGGATTACAGCCAGGGCGAAGCTTCCCAAGAGCTCGGGGTGTCGTGGCTGGGCATGCCGTGCGTTCCATCTCCATCACAAACCCGGCAGACAGAAAGCCTATTGATCTTTTGGCGTCTCGCATATGGACCCAAATGGAGCGAGTAGACAAGGAACAGGGTCTAATGTGATCCTACCAAGTCATCAGAAGACCCAAGCACGAAGTGAAGAAGCCTTGGACAAGGAGAAACCTCCACGATGGGACACTGCTCCTTGCGCCATATTACCACCGAAGTGCCAACGTCGCCAGCTTTGCGACACCGCTGTCATGCCGAGAAGCCAAACGTGGGATTGTCCAATGATGCTCGTGGTCGAAGCATGAGCGCAGATCTGTCATCCAGTAATGACACCGAGAAGGTCAGTGCTCAGCTTGTCTGGGCGTGCAACGGCGGGGTGGCCAGATTGCGGGGTTGGTCTTGGGTCAGTCTTGAGGCTCTTAGCTATGTGGATGGTTTCCGAAACGCTCATCCGGGGTGCATGTCATCGGCGCGACTATAAAATGAGCTCTAGTGCTTCGCGTCGTGTTGAGTATGTCATGTAGGCGAGATCGTTAGCATTGAGTCAAAAGCGTATGAAGTGTGACAGGTTCTCGCTTCGGGCTTATGAAACGACTTTCGGTTGTGTTCAGCTATGAAGATGCTTGCGTGTGTGCCGTGCAACGATCCTAGATGGTGGGCAAGGGCGCGGTTGGTGTTCGCGCGAGATGGGATGGAAGACGCGGGGGCTTAGCGTCACTGGCGCCTTGGCGTGGAATGCTCGGATGCGGAGGCCCCTTGGACTGCCATCATCCACATTGCGAACCCATAAGCAGTGACGTTCACGGTGGAACCTGCTGCATACAAGTGCCGCGCTGTATTCTAGCAGTCGTTTCAGTCAGTCTTCGAGCCTACAGAGCTTGCTACAGACTAATCCCACGTCGCCACACACAGCCGTAACAGGCAAAGATCGCAACGCCAACAAGGTAACAGCTTCAGAACAACACTGGATTCTCCAACTCATTCTATCTCATGAGACATCCCAAACGCCTTCCAAACGTGTAGCGCCTACGTAGAAGGGCTACCACGATCAGTACTCACGAACACGACCAGTACAGCAGCGAACCTGAGATCGTCAGTCAACCACCAGCTCACTGAACGCATGGTACGTACGCAGATGTCACAGCGAAAACTTCGGCTCGCTTGGCTTCAGCGAAAAACGTCAAACAAAAGCTCATTCCAACGTTGAAAGCTGCAATCGTCCAAAGTTTCGCCTTTAACGTATCAAGCTGAATCAACACGAGGATAGATGCTATCGGCAACACTGCAGCAATCATCGAGCTGACCCATAGCGTGATCTTCACGACCTTTCTGTCGTAGTATACCTTGCCGCCGAGGTGCGAATTGTTTTTCGTGAACAGCCCGAGCCCGCACTTGAAGAGATGGATCGCCTTTTCGGAAACAATCCGAGAAAATTTGTCCGGAATCTGACGAGGATGTACACCAACCAAATCTGGAGGGTGGTTGTTGGGGTTCTTCTTTGTACCCCAGGTATGTGCATCACCACCGGTCAAGTGGTCGGGACCCATTTCCACACCGTCCAAGAAGCTTTGAAGATCGTGAAGATCAAAGCGATCTGGCGCTTTCAGCTGATGAAGAATCGAGACTTGGATGAGAGCTTTATCTGTGCGTCCCGCGATATTAGCATGAGATTTGCATCGAACAATGTTTTACTCACTGTACTGATTGAGCTTCTCATGCATTCTTCCAATCAGTATTAACTGCTCTGATTGTTCGCCATGCGGCTCTTCGAGCATACACTGATAGTCGGTTGCGTAATTCGATCTCTTGCCAGCAGTACCTTTATTGTCTTGCTGCTCAAGATAGTGTAGGTCCTTTTCCATCATACAGAGTTCGGCTTGCAGATATAGTAAATGGCGTGCATTGAGCCCATCGAATCGGCGGTATATGCCGGTTTCCGGCTTGAACGAGATGCGTTCAGATAAGCGAGGATAGCCAACAGGATGGTTTGTCCAAGCTCGTAGGTATGTTGACGCTTTCGTGGCAGTATTCTTGGTTTCGCCGGTAGCTTTCTCTATCATGTCTACGATTTTGGCCGAGTAAAGGTTGAGATCGAGGGATACTGACGCCTACAACGTTCGGCCTGCCTTGATTTATACAACGTCTTGAGGTTGTGCACCGTAGTACAATGTTACGATGTAACCGTAATCTACTGGCTCGCGAGTATCTGCCTTCCTCATGGAGTCAGCGTGCGCCTCATTTCGGCTTCACGACAGGGGCAGATGTTTGCTACGTGTCCTGAACCCTGCTCAACCGTGAGTTCTGGCTTGAGCGTGGCGCCTACATCTATCCAATCACGATAAGCACACAGAATGTACCTAAATTGTATACTACTGAGTCTTCCAAGCACTGATTTTCGCCCTAGTTCAGGTGTTGTGAACACCGAGCGCCACAACCATCTGTAGACTACCGCATTGGTATATACCTAGGTACACCTTTACCATGCACACACACAGAGACATCTGGATTAAGACAAGAGGTGTACGGTGATCTCATTACGTTTGCGGCTCGAATTCGACTTCCTAGTCTAAACTGCATTCATGCACATCTATCATTACAATCACTCTTGGTGGACGTCAACATGGTGGTGAAGCAGGAGCTGTGCGTCGTTTGGTATCAAATTCACGCGAATACATCGTAATGAACATGAATAGGTATCATCGCGTTTTCGCAGGCTTTGGCATACGTCTCGTTCAAACTTCTACGCACTGCCAACTCATGACCACGTCTAGTGGAAGGTGTATATGCAGATGAGCTGTTGTCTCATGACCGAGGGGAAACAAGCAGAACGTATATATAGCAAGTACATGGAAGTTGTTGATAACCAGTCCCATTCTTAGCAGACTGCAAAGAGCAATATTCCACCAGCGATGACATCTCACAATGCACAAGAGAGCACCACGGAGGGCCCACATCCGCACAAAGATCATGATGGCTCTCGCGAGACTGCCCACAAGCTGGATATTCCCCACAACCTTCAACAAGCTGGAAATGTAAAAGTCACCAAAGAGAATGCTCGCGATCTTGTCAGGGCACTCGGGCATGGGTGGATATGCGGTGCAGATCCAAGGACGGGTCTTGGTCCTACACATGTCAATATACCCGGAGATAACCACTCCCAAAGCGCCCCTACACCCTGTGTCAGCGTCAACTGTCAACACATTCGATGTAATCTTTGCCCAAAGGTGCGTATCTTGAACGTCGGCTACGAAGATCTTATATCATACATCGGAAATCGGGACTTTGAGGGGTGGTTTCATATTACCTGCAGGAGGTACCATAATGATAGGACCTCCGCAAAGTACTGCTTGACATGCCACCACTCCGCTGCTCATAATTTTGGATACGTGGTTGGGTATGATCCTCCCCAGGCCACGCAGTCTAGTTAGTGAAGGCTAGAATGAAAAGTAGGAGCTGGAGCAGTGCCTCGGTACATAGCAGGCAGGGCAAGTATTACTTCGAGCAATGTTGGAGCTTAAAGGCCACAGAGCCTATCATGCAACACTCTAGTATTCTCCGTAGGCTTCAATCATGAGATTCTCCACTCTTTCGTCACCGTATAAGCTAATCGTAGGCGGCAGCCTTCAGGATAGCAGAGCATTATCCATTCATTTAAATATTGTCTTCGTCTACCGTGCATATCTACTTATACAAGCACGCTTCTCTTGAAGGGTTTCGAAGTGATGCCAACGTGATATTTGCGCCAACATATGGCACGTAGCATGCATGATAGTCATCATGCGCAAGTACATGTGTCAACCCAGTGTCTGCTGCGAATACAACTTCCTACGACCCATGAACAACTGTTTGACCCACAAAAATGACCTGTATAGCCGCGAATCTATGCGCAAAGTCAGTTCATATACTGATTGGACAGCTACTTGAACTTACACTGCTATTATTGCGAAGACGTCGGTCCTTCTCGCCTCCGTGAACCATCCTAGACAGAGCGACACAATGCCGTTGAAAACAGCAATGGCGGCGAGACGATGTACCAGCGAGGGTATGTTGACAAGTGCGATGATTGCTATGACCGGGAGGATGGAAGCTATGAAGCAGGTCAACCAGAACGTGATTGTTGAGATCGTGTCGTCACGATAGAAACACATGGGGTTTTCGCTTTCCTTTCCCGGGTATAGCTTCTTGAAGAACAAAAAGACGTGTACCAGTCGATCGGAAAGCATGGTCGTGAACGTGTCGGTGCGCACTCGCGGATGCAGCGCGACCAAGCCATCGTCTGCGTGAGCAGTGGGATCATTGTATTTTCCCCAGATATTTCTGTCTGGACCAACCAACGGCAATTCCATCTCTGAGCTGGCCATGAAGCCTTGGACGTCCTTGAGGTCATAGTAGTCTGGGGGCTCGAACTGGCAGATGGCTGTCTGATAGTACAATGCCTTGTCTGTGCCGATTAGTATCACCCATCTTGGTGTCCTTATGGTCTTGAGTACTCACTGTACTCCCTAAGCTTCTCTCGAATCTTGAGGATGAGACTCAGTTGCGATGCGTCGACACCATCCCTTTCCTCTGCTGAAACTTCAAGGAAGAACCAGTCGTGAGCATACCGGGCTTTCTCCCCTTCATCGCTGTCGTGGTCTGCGACTTCCATTTCTCGTAAAGCTTCTTCCAGGTATGTTAGTTCTGCCTGCATGTATAGCAAGTTCTTCGCGTTCAGTGCACCAAAGCTACGGAAGATTGCGCTCTCGGGTCGTATGCCCATTGACCGGGCGAGCTTGGGGTAGCCTTTGACATAGCCTTGGAGTAGCTTGGATTCTGATGTCTCAGCCATTGTGATGAGAGAAATGAGGTAGAGGCGGAGAAAAGTTGCTGCGAGTGTTGGAGTTCGACAAGACCTTTCGCAGCGTCTTTATATACCCGGATAGCGGTCGTTAGCGCAATTGAATGATTGTTGGGGATTGAATCATTGGTACAATCACACCGGCGAAGTGACATACGGTAGCTTCGATTCAATATTGAGCGACTGCCGACAGCCACCAAGGGTCGTTGTCACATGTCCCGCGCTGGGGGTCGTGGGGGTCGTGGCATGGGTGGAGAGACTCCAGTGTGATAGCATGCATGCCTGGTAAATCTCTTCAGTTCTCCGTAGCCCAATGTGAAATTCTTAACAGTTCCTGATGGACACATTGGGCCTTAGACAGACATCATTCTATGTAGTCTGCTGGAGTAGCATTCTGGCCAATCTTATACCTCTAATAAGATGCTATAGTCGATCGCATGTATCCATAAAACGTCACCTATGCGAAGCTGATCCAGAGACATGAATGATACATAACCTTCCAGCTACTCCGTCGCACTCGCTTGAGGGCGCTTGATGCTAACGAAGAGGACTGGACCATACGATCTCAATAAGCTCACGTGCTACATCCATGAGACGCGATGTTTGGCCTGCGCAATCCCAATGCTCATATTGACGATATATAAGGCGTAGGGGTATGTTTTTCCATGATGAAAACTCAGCTCATCTGAGAAAGGATTATGTCGAATCACACAGCCGCCCAAGCGACTGCTAACGTGAACAATCCGGCGTGGGGCCTTTTCGCCTTCCCAGGAGAGGTTCGGAACATCATTTACGACCTCCTCATCACAAAAGCCTACCCCAAAGACGACATCAGGCCTGTCGCTTCGCGCATGAGTGCTATCCTCGTGAAGTTCCCCAGCTGGCTCAAAGACTTTGCAGATGTTTCTAGGCGGGTTCGAGACGAATTGATACCACTCGTCATGCGACAATACACATGGGTAGCCGACTTGCTATTTAACGATATCGACGACGGGGACTGGTATATTGCGAATAATCGATCATGGATGGAGGGGACCGATCCTCATCTTGATGGCAACATCCGTCACGTTAGCCTGCGACTTAGGCACTGGTTACCGTCCCAGAAGGTGCCCCGGACAGAGCCATTCTTCAAAATAGGCGAAATGGGCGTTTTCTCTGCTTATATCGACATTCAGCTGTTGGAAAGCGCACCGCATGTCAGCATGAGGGCGAGGGCACATATAAGGCTTCTCGACTGCAACCAAGAGGCTGCATTAATGGCCGCGTTGAGCTCCGCGCTAGACCAAGACGTTAGTGCTGAGTTGGAGAGGTTAGTGAGCGAGAAACAGGCGGCAGGGTCAGCTCAGACATGTTTTACTATAGCGGATTGGAACCGAGTTGCGGACACCTTGGGAACGACGTTTGCCACCTGGTTCAAGACGTATGATTGGACTCCGTGGATATAGGGCTTCATATGGACCTGTACCGTTGGTGGAGTTCGGATGATGGATTGCTATCGACGACATACGCAGGTCAGGATAGGCTCTCTGTATCGAGCAGACACCCAGAGTACTACATGATGATGTTGGGAGGATTTCTCTGGGCGCCAAATATACTGTAGCTACCGCGCTGATCATAGTTCGCGTAGGGAACATTCAGATCTACCCTCCAATTCCTCACATCAGCCATCATCGCCGGCATGCGTAATCAGCCCAGCAAGGGCTTCACACCGGCTTCCAGCTTCTCTGTATACGTACTGCAGAGACTACCATCTCGCCAAACACCGCGGATGTTCAATGTCGCGTCAATGTCTTCAAGTGGGTTTCCTTCAACTAACAACATATCGGCGTTGAGTCCCTCAACTAAACGGCCGCGATCAGTGAATTGGAACCGTTTGGCAACCAGGCTCGTGGCCGAGCGCAGAGCCTCCGCAGGTGACATGCTGATCTTGTGCACGAAGACATTCAGTTCTTGATGCATCGATAGCCCAAACGCCGTTCCTACTGCTGGACCTGCTGAGTCACTTCCGCTACATTTCGTTAGTCACTTGTTCGATAGGATACACACAATTCACTTACCAGAGAATATCGATACCCGCTTCTCTCAACTTCTTCACGCCCTCGTATGCGTACTCCGCTTTACCGTTCTCAGCACAAAACCCCATGCACTTGCACATGTTGCCCACGCGATCATCGTTGATAAGCCCTTTGATCCGGGGGTCATGTGCGAACTGATGCTGCAGCTCTTTCCCCTCGGTTGTCAGACTGCCGATTGCAGCAAGTGTAGGATTGACCCAGGCGTTATTCTTCTTGTACGCATCTATCAGCTCTTGGGTCGGCAGCTGGTCGCAGAACGTATGTGTGAGGCCATCGACACCTGCGTTCAGAACATCAAGAGTATCTCGCAAGGATAGAGCGTGTGCAACGGTGAGGTAACCTCGCTTCTTGGCTTCCGTGATGATCGTTCTTTGTAGTTCGACTGAAGGATAGCTGAACTCGCGACCCATGCTGGTCCCGCTCTCGTGCATGAGTTTGATGTAGTCTGGTTGCATCTCTTTCTTCGTCCACTCCAAGTATTCCACCACGCTGCTTTGATCCGTCAACTTGGGCCACTTTGCAATTGCCGCCGCTGTTTCCGGACTCTTGTCGTGAGCCGTGATCACGGGTATCGGCCACCCGTTCTCGATGGTGGCAGCCTGGCCTGCTGTCTTGTACGAAGCAGTATCTGGCTCCAAAGTCTGCTTCTTCAGCTTCTGCACGTTCTCAAGCTCGTTGTGCATTTCGCAAACGGTAGTCACGCCAAAGCGCAACGCTTGAGGTAGGGCTTCGGGATCGGCCCTGTCTGCGTGGATGTGGCAGTCGATCAAGCCGGGGAGGAGCGTATGGCCCGGTTTCGAATACGTCTTTACTGGTTCGAGCGGCGCATCGCTGATGGGTCCGACACTCTTGATCTTGCCATCAAGTACGTGGACATATCCTTCATCGATAGTCTCTTCGCCAGTAAAAATGCGAATGTCACGAAGGAGAAAAGTCGTCATGGTGCTGTACGCTTCGATGGTAGGACTGTATCTTGTCGCAATGCTTTGATCCTAGCTGGTCTTCGTAGACGTTATAGACTACACTTGCTTGGTGTGATTGTTGTGTTGATAGAAGACGCAGGCAAGGAACCGTACGTGTCCACTGGGAATCTTACACATTGCTTTTGTAGAAGATTACAACTAGCTCACTTTGCTGCAGATGGGGGGCCAACAGTACGGGCTCGTTGCATTAGCGTGCGGCTACGACCCGCAAACTACGGATAGAAAGGGCGTCAAGCCCGTGAGGCCAGTATCGTATTGCGAGTATGCCGTGTCGCAGTAGTGAATCTCTATCCGCATGTCTGGCACTGGACGGATGTGATGGCTTTGTCGTCATTAGTAAGTATCGCGGTCTCCCGATTCGGTCAGCGTCGTGGAGAGCCGAAGCCGGTTCACCGCTCCCGTACCATGCGCCATGGTGGATGGAAGGTAACAGGGACAAGTATGAAGTTCGGCGACGCTGTGTTGATGCGGTAACGCCCCTCATTCCGCGATTGTGACATGCATGAGAACCCGCATCGCTCCTTCAGATCGATCCACAAATGCCAAGACGCTAGTGGCCAGCCGCGTTCATCCTCATCGTCGCTTCCTCCACTCGACTGTCCGTCTTCGTGTCATAATTGTGTGAACTTCACGACAGTTCGGCCGTTATCAACAAGAGCCATATTCACATAATCTCAAACGCCCAACGGTTTGGCACATCTAATCAGTCAGCTGAGAGTCATTGTCACCTCCGCCACCACGGGTGATGTATGAAGTGCAAGAAGAATGGACTACAGGGTCTTCAACTTCTTCTTGAAATCTAGATGTCACAGTAGCCGGAGATGTGAACGTAAGTACAACACGATCTGAAAGAGACGACGTGGCCATTGCGAGTGACATATTCAAGGTATAAAAGCCTATCCTAGGTTGCTCAACTCTGAATCCTCACACTCTCACCACATAACAACATTACGACCGCCTGCTACTCTAAAGAAACTAAAGCCATGTTTCCCTATAGGCAGTCGGGGTATACCTATAATATTACGTTCTCACAACAAGTACCTTTCTCAGGTCCTTATATTGTACAGGCCGAGAACCCGCAGCTGGCCCTCGTTCCACAATTGGCAGTTGTTCCACAACAACAAGTAGTCAACCGACGACAGACGCGGGTCCACTATACCGGTTACGATAGAAATCTCACTGACTCCCAATTCTGTCGTTGCGCACAACCAGAAACCCACGGCGATGCGTACTCACATCCTGAAGTTAACAACCACGCACAATACGACGGTGTACACATCCTAGATCTTCAAGGCCAGGAGATACAGAGAGAAGAGTATATCCAGCGATGCATGGATATCTTAGGCAAAGACTTCGTCAACTCGAACCACGAACTAAGAACTGTGCGTGCGCAGGTCATGCACCCTGAAAGTATGCGAGTGCAGGATGACCAGAGGGAGACTGCGAGACGAGCAGCAGAGATTGGAGTTCTCAGGAAAGGGCTACCGCACGATGTCGTTTGGTACGGGCCGGTGAACCCCAAAGGATGCCATATCCACCCGCCAGCTGAGCAATGCGACAGAAATTTCATCGGGGCATCTGGAAGTTGGGATCCGAGAACTGGGCGTGCGGTGAACGGACCACTGATGACTGGGCGTGAGCCAGATTGGGGGCAGCGTGGGTACGGTCGTCAGGGTTTTAGTCGACGTGGGTATCGTTGAAGTGGTTGGCTGTATAGTTAGTTGCAAATTGAATCTGAGACGGATCGTCAGCATATTTAGAATTGCCAGTTGTGCCTGGACTAGTAAATGCATCCGTATCGATCGGCTCCTCCAGGGGAAACCGCAGCCAATGTTGCGGTCGGCTTTCAAGGAGGCTCTGAGAATACTTGTCATGTCGGTCTGGATCCCCGTGGTAGGCGTGCATTCGGGTCGAACTGGTACTGTATTCCTTCGTTGCGTGCCGATAACCCGAGAACAGAGTGTGATTGATGATGTATTCGTTGTTTCCCAGAACCATGACAGCTCGCGTCACGATGACGGCCCACAACTGCGACGCGTAACGAACGGAAGCAAAGCCGCTGTCCGCCAAGCCCCCCACCAACGCGACGGAGCGTGTCTCCAGTTCGTCATGACTCCGGCATCGCAGTCTCCATCACGACTCTCATTCTCTCCATTCAAGCCCTGTCTGGCTTCGATGCTGCACACTCGTTTTGTAGCTACCAACCATGGTGGTCCTAGTTGATCTGGGAGACGATGAACTGCCCAATTTAGAGACGCCCCATCCATCTTCCGGCCGGTTCAACGTCTTGCCGCCGCGTCGCTCCCTTAATGAAGGCGACGTGACGACAGCAGCCGAGAGGCCGAACCCGAATATCAATGGATTCAGCGCGGCACTTAGCTGTTATCCGTACGCTCCAGCCATAGCATGGACTTGATTCCGCGCTTTGATGTATGCTAATCATATTAACTATGCAGGATAGTCAGTCAGCTCGCTGCTCAGCTCGACCTCAACACGCTTCACGACCTCTCACGTACTTGCAGGCAGTTTCGCGCCAATCTGCTCGAATATCGCAGCCAGCTCGTCAGACATACGCTTCATTGCGAGAATGAAGATGATGGTCTCAGTGAGAAGCTTGGCTCGCGACTGCAGGAAGGACGACATGTCCTGGAGAGCCGCCTGACGACTGGTCGCGTCGGCAAATGCGCCCGCGACATGGTGGGCGACTGCCAGCGGTGTGGGACAGTCGTATGCCGGGTAGGACACCCAGATGTAAATGAAAGGGGCTACGGCTAACAGGTCTTGCAGAACTGCACCATGAAGCCACCACCAACGCCCACGCTCAGAGCCCGCCATCGCCGGCTATGCCGAACGTGCACCAAAGCGCCTCTCGCACTGCTCATGGCTATGCAGAAGCAGCGCGCCTCATCGATGTCCCCTTCGCCACCCGGGTCACCAGAGACACATCCAGTGCTCTTTGATGGTGACAACCCGCGAGCCTTTACGGCGCCAGCTTTCGAGCGTACACCCTGCAACTGCGACAACGTAGTTTGGCTCTGCGCGCCATGTGGCAAGGACCTGCGAAACGCCGATACCACCTACGTCCGCGGTTGGAGCTGGCGCACCATGTACAGCCACATGCACGGCGGCGTAGGCATCGGCCTCGGCGAAGGCAACGAGGGCGTAGAGTGCGGACGAGGCTCCGCATGCCTAGGCGCACACATTGTCGAGCACGAGACATGCGAGCAAAACCTGCTCGACACCATCGAGAAAGAGAGATCACAAACGCCAGAGTCGCCCGAACGCTGGAGGGGCTCTTCTTACCTCACACAGGAGATCGAAGGCATCGGCGGTGTGCTCAAGGTCAAACACAAGAAGCAGGTACGCGTTGGCGAATGCGTCAAGCTGTTTGAAGACGAGAAGAAGAAGTCGATACAGTATCTTGAGCGAGAGGTCAAGGGCGAGCTGAGGAGTTGGTGCTCTTGGTGCGAGAGGGTTGTGCTGGGTAAGAAGGATAAGGCTGAGATCAATGGGGAAAGACCCTCGTCGAGTGGCTCGAGCTCATCATCCAGTAAACCAGTATTTTCGTATAGATACTGATTTGGACCGTTACATAGTCAAGTAGTTCTGCTCAGCGATCATTGATGCATGCCCAGGTGCGCTCATTAAACACGTTCCTTGCAATTACAATCAAAACATCGATACTAATCCTTTACCCCAAATACCTCCTGAAGGTATTTTACTTCCTGTCTCAACTTCTCACACTCCGCCCGAGCAATGTCGAGGTCTTCTCGAAGCAAGTCTCTCTCGCCTTCCACCTCTTGCACATTGCTGACATTGCAATCATTCTCCCCTTTCTTCTGCTTCTCCAGCAGCTCTTTATATCTGTACAACAACTCTCGTAACTGCAACAGTAGGTTACTCTTCTCGTTCTGCAGCTCTGCCTTCTCCTTCATGAGCTTGTCAGGCGGAGGACGGCGATCTTCATCCAAGACAGCTGCCAGTGTGTCTCGACTTTGTTCGAGTGCCTCACGGAGCTTCGCATCGAGATTCTGACAGGCTGATTTCATCCATTCTTCTTGGTACGCCTTCTTAAGTCTTTTGATATCATGCTCCACCTTCGCTCGTGCATTGACTAGGTTGTGAAGCGCGCGCTCTCGTCCGAAGGGTAATCTGGGGCCGTCGAACTGCGCGGCGAGCTGTGCGTACTTGTCGTACTCTGCGTAAAGCTCGCGGTAGTTCTGTGAAAGTTGGGCATGTGTCCAGCTGGCAAGGGCGCTTTTGGGCGTGAAGCCGGAAGAAGGGTCCATCATCTGTAGACCTTGCGTTTGGTGTAGTGAGGGTACCGCAGATGTGGATATAAGGGAAGTGTATCGTGATTGTTTGCGCAAAGCTTGCTTTGACAACATAGTCATGGATGGTCACACGTGGACTATGCTTCTGGCGATTTCAAGACAAGCTGTGAATCAAAGGGAAATGCGAAAGATGGATGAGTCAATAGCAATCTTACTAGAATCAAAGTGGATTCCAGATCGAGATGTGAATGAGATATCGCAGTCAGCGGTATCTAGAAGCCCGAACGAGCTCTTCAATACCGGTGCTGCAAATAATGTCAATACTGCGAAACACTAAACCTCAGAATGGTATACCACAAACGCCATGCTCTTATCCTAAACGCCGAACCTCCGCATACGTGCTATCACTCCGTGTTCTCCGCCCTCTTCTACCGTCTCGCGCGAACATTGAACGGACTCTCCTCCGCGGCCTTGAAAGAGTCAAACGCAAACAGGCTGACAAAGTACAGCGCTGCAAACCTGACCAGCGTATCGCTCAGTCCACCATTGCCAGTCAGCATCCTTTGTAGGCCGGCGAACGGGCTTTCGCCAACCGGCCGACTGGGTTCTGAAGCGGAGCCAAGTGTGCGGCCTTTGGTCGAGAAGACAGCGGAGGCGGCACCGGGGCCAGAGGTATCGTTTGCGGCTTTACGGACGGCGGCTGTGAGGGCTGCGGGGTTTGCACCGCGGATGGTTTCGACGACGGAGGTGGATTTGATGACGAGGAAGGTTGGCATACTGGACAGTGTTTGTGTTAGCTTATGAATCTACAATTTCCTCCATCCTAGCATGCGAGTGTGTCTCTCGGGGTGTACATACGCGCTGACGCCGTACTTCTTTGCAACTTCCTGTTGGCTATCCACGTCCACCTTGACGAATTGCATCTTGCCTGGCTTGGTCTCTTTCTCTGCCAAGCCCTGGAAGACTGGCGCGATTGCCTTGCATGGTCCGCACCAGTCCGCGTAGAAGTCGACGATAGTGTATTTGGATTGCGACAGAAGTTGGGAGAAGTGCGAAGCGGAGGTGACGGGTATGATTTTGCCGGGCATCGTGGCTATATCTGAGTGAATAGGCTCTTGAGAAGAGGTAGTTTCTGGGTGGTTGGCGAAGGAGAATAGATAGGGCGGTTCGTGAAGTGGAGTTGCGTTAGTAGTGTGTGTTGCGGGGAGGACAGCTTGCGGCAAGGATGCGCCACTTCGAGCTCAGGTGGGTCGTGCGTCAGGGAACTAGCTGTGACGCGAAGTCAACGCGACCTCGGGGCGTTTGACAGTCACGACAGACTCGAAGATTTGGTTAACATCAACCGCGCGCGTGTTTCCATTCAGAAGAATCTTGCTATAGATTCCTTCAGTTATGTATGTGCTCTTTGTACATGTTCAGTCAGCTGTCAACTCATAGTCATCTCCTTCGCCTCCTCAATCCACAAGTCGCTTTCCTCGATCGCATGTTGGCTCGGAATTTCATCGAGCTACGCAAGACCAGCAGTACCTGCGAACGGGGTGGAACGGCTCCTCGACTTCTTAGGGATGTATTCGGGCTCACCCTCGCTTGCGTCCACTTCTCGAACAGCACGCTTCTTCGCTCGCGTCTTCTTGGCTTTAGGCTTTGGAGCTGCTGCTGAATCTTTAGCTTTGACCGCATCGTCAACTCCTGCTTCTTCCATCTTGACACCGACGGCCGAATCATCCTCAGTCGGCTCATGAGCATCTACTCCTCCTCCGACCTTGGTGGTGTTTGATGCCTTCTCCATCTCGAGCGGAGGCGAGGGCGGATAGGCGACGTTCGGCTGTGCTTCCACCTCGTGTTCCGGATCCTCTGCCTTGACTTTGGTCTCTGCGGCCTCTGCGGCGTCTTCTTCTGCCTCATCTTTGGCCCTCTTCTTCTGAGTCTGGGTCTTCTTTGGTTTCGCACGCGACTCGATCTTGGGCGCTGGTGGCTTAACGACCTTGCCTGTCTCGAGGGTCTCGGTCACGACTTCCTCAAACTCTGTGGAAAGGGAGTCACGGCCATCGAACATGTCTTCACTGGCTCGGCGAACCACTTCTTCCAAGTCGAACGCTGACATGCACTGCCAGTGCTTGTAGACCATGCTCTCGTGCTCGCCGTCGAACGGTACAGATAGACCAAGCCTCAGCTCGCCTTTGGTGATCTTCACGTTCTTAGACAGGCAGTCGCTGCCACGGCAAGCGCACGCACGACCAGCAACGTCGACCTTGTAGAAGCTGACATCAGTGTACTCTTTGGCGTATCGCTGAGCGTCCTTGGCCAGGTCTTCTCGGATGCCCTTGAAGTTCTTGTCGACAGGCTGACCCTCAAAGGCTAGGCGTACTTGTTCTTGGCTCTCTGGGCTGAGTCGGTCGTAGCCGGGTGCCTTTGTCGGGTCGTTGCCGGTGGTCTCCTTCAATCCCGCGATCTGATGCTTGGTTGCACAGCCCCTTGCTTTGTTAGTACACACAGTAGGTGCAGGAGGCTCCAGACGAAGGTAGACTTACCAGTGACGCCAGGCCATGTACCATCTAGCCTCTGGCTCAAACAGCGTGTGAGTACCGATACGCAGCTCTCCTTTCGCGATCTTGATCTGGCTGCGCTTGCAGGCGGCTTGACTACAGGTTGCGCGGCCAGTACTCGCCTGTTCTTCAGATTGTTAGCCAAGAATGTAGGAAAGGGAGGTGGCCGAACTTACCAAGACGCCATTTAGGGCCTTCGTCGTCCATGTTTGTGAAATTCGGAAGTCTCGTGGGATCTCGGTAGAGGATTTAGTGATTTGAGGCGACAAGAGGTGAGATGTGAGTGTAGCTACCCGCGTGTCTAAGGTTGCGAGCAAGCACGTGCGGCTTGGCGGGGAAAGAGGAAGTCGCAGTGCCCGCTGCGTCCAGTGATTTCCACGAACTTGTTCTCACCAAGTTGACCTTTCTTCTTTCTTCTCATTTTGAATAATGCAGAAAGCTCTGAAAGAGACTGATGAGCGATGAGTGGCGCCCGAGACCGTTGTGGTCTTGTTTGTGGCCGAGATAACCCAGGAGACGAGGAACAGGAAAGAACGAGAGATCACCGCGAAATCATCTCTCAGTTTTCGACAACGAAATCACCACAAGATATTCGGAGCATCACCCACTGAGTGCTGTCATCATGGTCCATGTTTTACTATTGCGCTCCTCTGCGTCCAATCAGCGGTCAGCAGAAAGGTCAGGCGCGACTTGTTCGCAATGCCTTGATGATGTCTCGAAAAATCTGGTTCGTGCTCGCAGAACTCTGAAGTCGATTCAGGCTTGATGTCTTCCATCCTGAGGTTTATGAAGTTCGATTGAGGATTGCGGGGAACAGCGGGGAAGTCCGTCTTCACTAGTCCACCTCCGCTGACTCAGACACACCCCCTAGCTATCTCCATATCCCAACAGAACGCATTAGCGAACAGATGCTTTTCCGAGAACCGTGACTCACTATTCCGCTCATAGAATCATATAAGATACGAGATAAGCATACCAAGCAGCTCTTCGTTCCTTCCCTACCTTGGCAGCTCACCCTTAACATCCAATACAAACATGACAGAACCCACATCAGATAAGAAGCTTTACGTCAACGCCGAAGATGCACAATCTTTCGTAGCTTCAGTTCTGGTCGGTAATGGCGTTGCGCCCGAGAACGCCAACATCGTTGCCAAATGCCTCATAGCAGCCGACCTCCGCGGCGTCGACACCCACGGCATGAACAGAATCCCGTCCTACATGGAACGCGTCCGTCAAGGCGTCCTGAACAGTGCGGCAACGCCGACCATCACCCAAGTCACGCCAGTAGTAACCCAAGTCGACGCCAACAATGGCTTCGGCTTTCTTGCAGCAGACGCCGGCATGGCTGCGTGCATCGAATCCGCAAAGACGTATGGTATCGGGATGGCGAGCATCAAGCATTCGAATCATTTCGGTATGAGTGCTTGGGTCGTACAGAAGGCTCTCGATGCCGATATGATGAGTTTGGTGTTCACCAATTCGAGTCCTGCGCTACCGGCTTGGGGCGGGAAGAGTAAACTGCTGGGTGTCTCGCCGATAGCATGTGGTGCGCCGGGGAAAGATCAGCCGTTTGTTCTGGATATGGCGCCATCGATCGCGGCAAGAGGCAAAATATACAAAGCGAAGAGGAGAGGCGAGAAGATTCCTCTGGATTGGGCGCTGGATAAAGATGGTAAGCCAACGGACGACCCAGAAGCGGCACTTGACGGCGGTGTCATGTTGCCTATGGGTGGACCAAAAGGTTCGGGTCTGGCTGTCATGATGGATGTTTTCTCGGGCGTACTCTCCGGCTCCGCATTCGCAGGCGACGTTACAAATCCATACGACCCCTCCAGACCCTCAGACGTTGGTCACTTCCTCGTCGCGGTGAAACCAGATCTTTTCATGAGCCTTGACGACTTCAGGGAGAGGATGCAGATCCTTTATGATAGAGTCACGGGTGCTGAGAAGGCGGCGGGCGTGGAGAGGATCTACTTCCCAGGCGAGCTCGAGCAGTTACAACAACAGGAAAGAGAGAAGACAGGTATTCCGTTGGTGCAAGCGGAAGTTGATGCGCTGAACGCGGAGGCGGAGAAGGTTGGCGCGAAACCGTTAGTTATCACGTAGGCGTGTAGACGTGGTAGAATGCATGCTATCGAACCATTAAATGCATCTTACGACTGAAGAATCATGAGTAATTGCGACACTCAGGACTGTCCGAAATGGCAGCCACTCGTTTCTTCAGCCGACGTTTAATAGGTAGCTTCCTCAATTTGGATTTACCGGAAGCCTCCGCTTTCGGTTCACACAAAAACGCGGTTAGCGATGTCAAGCTGACGTATAGCTGCTCTGGCGTTTTCGCTGCTCGCAGGTCAGCCCGAAGAGGCGATATGAAGTGAATGCCTTGCCAAAGGCAAGACATAGCTAAGTATCTGCAGCCTACATTAGTTTCCCAACACGTTGTTGTGTCACTGAAAAGGTAATTTCGCCTCAATAGCCTTTTTTTTCTAAAGGTTTCACTGGGTACACAGGTAGAAGAAGGTGTCCGGCTTTTCACTTCCATGGGTCGTGAGCGCGCCTAGTGGATCCGAGCTCATCAGGTAGTCGCACAACAATCTCATAACCCGGCCACTCTTGCCTTTTTATCCCACACGCGCGATGGACTACACCGAGATTCAACCACCCCAAGATCCAGGAATGATGCCTTCGAATGCGCAAACGAAAGCCAAAGACCTGCCAGTCAAGTTGACCTCGCTCGACCAAGCGCTTCAGCCATTTCGCCATTCGTATCCCCACACGGTTCTAAATCTTGCGGTCTTTGACGTAGTTCTCCAAGACGTTTATGAGTGTCACAAGGAGTTTCCGGATGAGCTGCCACCAACAGGCGAACAGGAGCACATCCATGAACTATGGTCTCGTCTGTCACGGACTCTTCGATATCCTCATTCGTCCTGGTATGCCGACCCGGAATCACTGCAAGTGGCGCAGCTGATGGCCAAGCAAGACCCAGTCCGCATCTGGTTCGAGCTCTACTCGCATGTTCGAAAAGATATTTTAAATGGCGATCCCATCGAATCTGTGATGGATATCGGGCAATGGTACACCAAAGTTCAAAGGGGAGTGAAGTGGCTGGTAGAGTGCGCCACTCTCAGCTTGTCCGAAGAGCGTTCGAAGGAGGACGATACTGCGATAGCAAATTTGACAGCTGTCGCAACCTGCGGGCCGATTTATGGTTCAGGGGAGTTGAATCCTGCTCCCGCTCATTCTCAAGAACTCTTCGGCCCTGGAGGCGTACTGTGGTCGGTAATGGAGGTCTTCACCCGCGAGCCGGGTGCCAAACGTGGTATCGCATGTATACTGGACTTGGTTATCGCGCTGGCTTTGAACATTGCCCTTATCTTCAAATACTCCTGGGAACACCATGCTCGTATGTGCGACCAGCAACCTGCATACAAGTGGTATGCGATGGGCCTAGAGGAAGCCCGGTCCAGATTTAGGACCGACGTCCAATGCCAGGATCCCCAAGCATTACTTCCATATCATATTCGAGATGTCCTAAAGGATATCGACCTCATTGGGCTTTGGGACGCTATATGGAATAAGGCAAACCTTCTGAGCCGTACTTTCGGCTTTGAACCACGATACCTGGAGTGCAACCTCTTTATTTGGGCTGTGCAACAAATGAAGCTTCCCTCCTCCGATCCCAGACCCTGGATACCGCTTGCCAACGTGGCTCTTATCACTGAAATGCGGTGTAAGGAGTATGAGATGAACACAGAAGGCGCTCTGAACAGCGCGCCAAGCGACTTCTGCATACCTCCAGAAGACTTTGACGTATCAAATATCTTCAAATGCCGGGTAAACGTGGAAGTCATACTGCGCAGCCGAGGACCGCGATTTTCGTCCACAGGACGGGGTCAACGCTTCTATGATGAGGACGACAATCCCGAAATAGCCGATGCAAACGATGAAGAACGCGAAATTCCGGATCTCACCATCGCAGATACCGCCGACGTTGAACCTTACGGCCCTCTTCTCGATCTCACTGATCTTGCGGCTGCCACAACAACAGTTCCCGAGGACCAATGCTGTACAATCTGCATGGAAGATCACTCCCAAAGTAGTAGTAACAGTCACGAGGGAACCATGAAGCTCAATTCGTGCGGACATCTGTTCCACTACAAGTGCATCTTCGAATGGCTCAACGGAACGTCCTCTAATAGCAGCCTTTGCCCTGAATGCCGTATCCAATTCAGCGAGCAGCGCAGACCAGTACGACCAGTTTCAGGATCAGCACTAGCCAGTCGTACATGGATTGAGTTCGACGAGCCTCTTATTGAGGTCGAAGATGAAGACGAGCCCCTTATTGAGTTCGAAGATGAAGACGAGCCTCTTATTGAGTTCGAGGATGAAGAAGAGTGAAACCTTGAGTTGGAATTCCAGCAACATCGAGCTGATGGCGATACCCTGAGCGTGTACGAAGGTAGCCCGAAATGGGATGCCCTTGATATGGAAGACGAAGACGACGACGGCACCTTCCCATCTTCTCCCTCATCCTTAGTTGTAGGGCCCGCAGATTCGCCAGAAGATGCATCAATTCTCCCAGATACTAGCCGGCGGGACCGTATCGTTAGCACCGATTACAGTTTGACTTTCCATGGACGCGTGATCGCCAACGGACCAAACGACGAGGACGAAAATGGGGTTTACGAAGCGACATACGATGAAGAATGGGTAATAGGGTCGTATGGGCAGTAGGTCGAGGTACTTGGGTGGGATGTGAATGTGGATCGGAGAAGATGAAGACATTTGACATGACGACTGGGGTGACATTAGGATCGAGACTGATGTAAGGAAATGGTCACTGCGATGACGTGGGTGGAGGTTCATAGCACGATATAGAAGCGAAGAATAGACACTCCGCAGTCTACATTAACGTCAAAGTTAGCAAACTATTCAGTGAATGTCGGCTCTTGGCTTGAAAGCTTTTGTTGACATGTGTGGGGGGGGGGGGGGGGGTTGGG